GAGGTACGGACATCTAGGGTTTATTTAGGAGTTGTTTGTTTGTTTTAATTTTAAAATTTAAGTTAGGGGTACATTGGTAATTTAATCTTTAATTTAGGGCGATCAATAGCAATTTTAAGGGCGACGTTTAGCGATTCAGTTGATATATATGCCCTCTCTTTCCGGCTCTTTCTCTTGGCCTTTTCGCGTAAGTAGTTCACTTTTTTTGTTTTATTAGTAAAAACAACAATAACAAGTGTGGTCAATTATGGAAATCAAATATTTACAACTCGACAAAATATGTGAAGAGTTCAAGAAAAGAAAAAGGATATGGTTTGGGATTTACGATCAGATTAAACGTTACATATCTTCCAGGGGCGGAGCTACAGCTGGTCTCGGGGGGGCCCCGGCCCCCCCGAGAATCGTGAAAGTTACGTCTAAACTGTATCGATATTTTGAAAATTTCGTAAAAACTAACAAAGGGCTAATATGTTTAGTGTGCAAATTTGTTTAAACAAAGTAGGCTTAGTCAAGCGGGGAGTACATGAGTTATGATACAGCTGGTTGAGGGTTCGATCCCTACCCTTTGCAATTCTGTTACTTTTTTTTTGCTTTTTATTTTAATATATCTACATAATTACTCTTTTAAATTTATTATTTCTTGACTCATTTAATTAGATATAATTAATCTTTCAAGTTTCATCTTATGATTTCTTCATTTCATTATTTCAATATTATTTCTTGACTCATTTAATTTCAAGTTTAGTTTTTTTTACCACTTTGCAATTTATTTCACTGAAAAATTATCCATTTTGACCTTTCATAAGTTATTCTACATCAATATTTTGACTCTAATCATCTAAAATGATTAATCATAATACTAATAAAAGTAAAATTTACTTTGATTGTCTTGCTTAGTTTTAATTTTTTATCACCCTTCTGCGTTATAGTATTAAATAATTTTCGGCCCCCCCGAATTTCAAATCCTAGCTCCGCCCCTGATATCTTCCACTTTAAAATCAAATTATGCAAATTAAAAATTTAAACACTCATTGTATAGAATATTATATGCCTGACATTTTTCTGGATGAAGTATACATCTTTTTTGGGTCTTTCTCGTTTCGTTCGTATTATTTTGCACTTTTGAGGTTTCATAGAGTCACTTTTTTGTGACAAATAGGTTCTTTTATCGATATTTCAGTTGCATATAGTCTACTGTATTCTATATTTGTCAATCTTATAACCTTTAGATTTATATTGAAGAAGGAAAAAAAATAGAGATAAAAACATCTATTACACCATCATCCCTTACTTCCCTCCTTCAAGGTGGTTATCTTTTGCGAAAAAGTTATCCAACACACCTAAAATACCCATGAAATCACCTAAAATAATCCTAGCAAGCTCATTCATCTTCATTGGATACCTATAATGATGTAATAAAGAATTACTCTCTATGCTCCAAAAGAATGTCCCTTGAAACGATAACATTAATTAATAACAAATTGTCCGGATGGAATGATACTTGCTGGTTATTTTTGTCGGTCGGAAGGAAAATTCAAGAACATGATTACAAATATGTTAACTCAATAATTAATTATGTCTAATCATAGGGGAAAAAAGAATTAATATGTTTATAATTAACTGCATTTTTCATGACTTTTTCTTTCTTTTTCTTGTGCAGAGTGGGACGTACCTGAGGAACGGGCCAGGGTTATGGCACCTAGGCGACTACAACTTCCGCCACCTCTTCGACGGCTACGCCACCCTCGTCAAGCTCCACTTCCGCGACGGCCGCCTCGTCTTCGGCCACCGCCAGATCGAGTCGGAGGCCTACAAGGCCGCCACGAAGAACAACAAGCTCTGCTACCGCGAGTTCTCCGAGGTCCCCAGGACGGACAGCTTCCTGTCCTACATCGGGGACCTCGCCAACCTCCTGTCGGGGGCCTCCCTCACCGACAACGCCAACACGGGCGTCGTCAAGCTGGGCGACGGCCGCGTGGTCTGCCTGACGGAGACCCAGAAGGGGTCCATCGTGGTGGACCCCGACACCCTCGACACGTTGGGGAAGTTCGAGTACACGGACTCCCTGGGCGGGCTGATCCACTCGGCCCACCCGATCGTGACCGAGTCCGAGTTCCTGACCCTCCTACCCGACCTGATCCGACCGGGCTACCTCGTGGTCCGGATGGAACCGGGGACCAACGAGCGGAAAGTGGTCGGTCGGGTGGACTGTCGAGGCGGGCCCGCCCCCGGGTGGGTCCACTCGTTCCCCGTGACCGAGCACTACGTGGTGGTCCCCGAGATGCCGCTGAGGTACTGCGCGGGGAACCTGCTCAAGGCCGAACCGACCCCACTCTACAAGTTCGAGTGGCACCCGGAGTCGAGCGCGTACATGCACGTCATGTGCAAGGCGAGTGGCAAGATTGTCGCCAGCGTGGAGGTACCACTTTTTGTGACGTTCCACTTCATCAATGCGTACGAGGAGAAGGACGAGGACGGGCGCGTGACGGACGTGATCGTCGATTGTTGTGAGCATCAGGCTGACACGACTATTTTGGAGAAGCTGAGGCTGCAGAATCTGCGGTCTTTTACGGGCGTGGATGTGCTTCCAGACGCTAGGTGCGTGACACATCCAAGTGACTCTTATTAGTAGAGTGTGATTCGAACTTTTCGTACCGAGTCCAATACTTTAACCACTTGTACGTGTTTTCGAATTATGTAACGCAGGGTGGGGAGGTTCAGGATTCCGTTAGATGGGAGTCCGAATGGGGAGTTGGATGCAGCGTTGGACCCCGATGAGCACGGGAGAGGGATGGACATGTGCAGCATCAACCCTGCTTTCTTGGGGAAGAAGTATAGATATGCTTATGCCTGTGGAGCCGAACGGCCGTGCAATTTCCCCAACACACTCACCAAGGTATGTTTAGTACTGCGAGATCCGACGGTAAATCGCAGTTTATCTTAAATCGTTTAATTTGTCACGTCATATTGTGTTCAACGACTTTCATGCTAGAAATTAAAGAGAATTTCGAGCTTGTCACCTCATCTTTTTATGGGTTTTAATTATACATCCGTGTTTGTTGCGTAGATTGATTTGATGGATAAGAAGGCTAAGAACTGGCACGACGAGGGCACCATTCCGTCAGAGCCGTTCTTCGTGGCCCGACCAGGTGCAACAGAGGAAGATGATGGTGAGCTATATATATCCATCTAGCTAGCTAGCTCCAATTTGTTAAGCACGTTGATAATGAATATAATCATAGTATCATTTTGTGATTAATGTGTGGTACTGATTATTAATTATGATTAGGGGTTGTGATATCGATGGTGAGCGAGGCAGATGGAGGAGGTTACGCGGTGTTGTTGGACGGTTCCACATTCGAAGAGATTGCAAGAGCAAGATTCCCTTACGGTCTTCCCTACGGCCTCCATGGAGCCTGGGTCCCTAGCTCCAGTTAAACAAAATGCTGTAAGAGAGAGCTTTTGCGACGACTGCCGTATCGGTTCCCAAAAGCTGTAAAATGGTCGGCAAAGTTCTTTGGCCACCATTTTGCTGAGTTTGTGACCAATGGCTCTGGTCACGAGAAGCTCATTATCCATATAGCTGGATGAAAAAAAAAAAAAAAGAAGAAGTTAGTGTTATAGACCATAATACATAATTTGGGATACTAGTGTAAGTGGGAAGGAACTTGTGCAAAATTAGATCGGCATAATCTATAAAATCGTGTGTCTTACTGTTCCTAATTCGTGTTAGAGTGATTTTAAGATTTTTGTTAGGAAGAGTAAGATACGAGAATGTGTAGATTTTGCAGATTTGGATTTTGCCCAAGAATGAAAGTGGTAGTACTTGTGGTGTTCATTGTGGGTGTTTGTGCGTGTATGTATGCACCAAATGGAGGCAGCAGTATGAAAGACGTGTAGCTCTAGCTAGGCAGCTTCTTTCTATTTATCAAATGCTATCTCCTTTCATGTATGGATATCGTCGTCGTTATTGTATATAAAAGACTATAAGTTCATCAATGAAGTTGGTCATTACGTGCAAATCTCTCACTTCTTCCTCTTCTTGGTCTCTTGTGCATGTTACCTTCAATAAAATTACATTAATGTATTAATTAGTGGACTACCTAATTAATCCATACAAGAGTAATTATTAGAAAGGGAAAATGGTGCAACACGATGAGCCCATTCATTTTCACTAATTTTTTTATTTTTTGTTAGATAGTCATATTAATTGTATACTACAAGATGATATCTACAATGATATATTTTAAAAGAGAAAAATAACATGTTCTTGATATGGTGATACCCCATCTTAGCCGTTAGCACTATGGTAAATGTGTGTCTTGCTCAAAAAAACCATTGCAGTTTAATGAAATTTAACAGGAAAAAATCATTGTCGAATTGGGAGATTAAATTGAATGTGTTTGGCTCCTAGCTAAGACTCATCGGACAAAGTTAACGGAATTTAACGATCACTGACTAATTGTGAAACTAATATGTAAAGTGAGTGACCACTAATGCAATTAAATTTTTTTAGTGGCAAACATGAAAAAAATGATGAACCCAATGATCAAACGTACCAGAAATCTAAACAAGAAGGAGCAAAAAAAATTGTACTTGACGAATTTGAACCATGATTATTGTGGAAGAGACTAGAGTCTTACCAACTAGTTTATTTCACAATCATGTTACAAATTTTACATATATATTTGTCTACATTTAAAAGTTAGGGGCTCTCTACGACTACTGTGTAAGTGTTACTACTCTCTAATTATATAAACAAGAATAATTTTCTCAATACGGATATCACACAATGTAGTCACACAAAAAAAAAATCAACTAATAAATTAAATATTATGCATTAAGAAATTAGTTTGGAGTGGCCATCGCCCATCCTAACTCCTAGGTAATTCACCCAATACGGAGGCCGGAGCCTCCACTTAAGTTTGTTTTCACACTGATGATTGATGCAGCTTGGCCGTTTTCGCTGTATCCAAGTCGAGTTGGGAGAACAAAAATAATAGAAAGATGTAGCAGTCATGAATTATGTAAGAATGCATATAATGTCAATTACTAACTTTCTGTTAAATCGCAGATATTTTTAACTAAAATACACTATCAAGTCAAACACAGAGGGTAAGTAAGAAACGAAAATCATTGCCGGCGGCCAGCTCTGCTCAACGTTAAAGGTAAACTGACAAAGCCCCATCCTTTTCACTGCAAATAGCATTGGCCATTGATTGGCATTATTCAACTAGAAATTCCTACCGAATCAATCGGAATGCCTGCGGTAGAGTGGATAAGACAATCACTTTGAGACAAAACAAAGGCATGATGACTTCTGAGGATGACAACAACGACGACGACCCTGTTGCTATAAACGACATGCAGAGTGTAAATGGATGTGGTAAACTATGATATGGGTCGAGCTCAGCTGATGAGGTGAACAGTCTGCTTGATAAGGGTCTCTCGATGAGCATCATTTCTGGTCTGTGTAAACGGCATCCACGTCGTCAAGCTCTAGCAGTTTGGACTTGAGCTCTCTGTTCAAGTCTACTGCCTCGTCGTCTACCTGGAAAAAGGATCATAACAACACAGATTTTCCGACGTATCATGATCAGTTGGTTAATGTCAAAGTCACTGTGATGAAGATAGCTGCCAGAAAGACTATATTTTTTTTCCCGCAGAGATAAAGGGTAAACACTCGCCCCTGTGGCTCAACCTTTTACCCTTTTGGAAGAAAATGATGAATATGACCCACAACTCAAATTATAGAGGCGAAAATTACCAGAAATTCAAATTCTGGTTTGTTCTGTTCAACCAGAATATGAAGCCCTGTCAAATTGAGGTACCACTACCAGGACCAAAGCAGAAGCGCAGGAGAAAGATTGGATGGAATCTTAGACGGAATTTGAAATCTGGGCCATTTTCATCTCAACAGTTTCAGTTTTTGGACCATATTCATCATTTCGGGAAAAAATGTAGCTTCTTTTCATCCAAATGAGCAAAAGTTGGGTCGTATTGAGGTATTTTGCCGAAAAAGAAAAAAAAAAACATCAACAACGATGGTGTTGTATACCTCAATATTTGCTATGGGAATCAGTTCGGAACCATTATCTGTCTCAAAAGCAATTCCTTCTTCACGCAGCTTTGATAATATGGCCGCATAATTCTCTGTCGAGCTCACAATTTTGTAGTAGCTATATCAAATTAAGAGAAGGAATTGTCAGGAAGTCAGCATAATTCACTTGCTGCCTTAGTAGCAAAATCCTTGACTAAGGATGACTGATGCTACGAGGAAATTCTGAAGGAACAGAACTGTTACCTTTGGGACATATCTTCATCACTCTCATCGTCATAAACCGAAGGTTCAATAACATCCTCAGCACCAGCATCTAAAGCAATGTTGAACAGCTGGTCTTTATCAGCATCGTTCGCTCTCACGTTCACAACCCTAGCACGTCTGAACTTGAACATAACAGATCCTGAGTCTGCCATCTTCCCTCCATAATCCTTAACCACCTCTCTAATAGCCGCCACGGATCTATTTACTTTGTCTGTCGACACTTCCACAACCATGCTCACTCCCCCATAGCCATACACCTATAAGTGGAAGCACAAACGTTATAGAGGAACCAGGAAGGAAACCAACTACCCTTTGCCATGTGCATCAAGGGAGAACAAGCATTGTTTACAAACCTCATAAATTTTCTCAATGTAGGCCTCTTGCCCCTTCTCGGAAGCCCTCTTAATATTGCGCTCCATAATTTCCTTGGGTACATCAAGCTCCTTGGCTTTCTCAAGTACAGCAGCAAGAGCTGTATTTGAAATCGGATTTGGACCACCCTTCTTTACACTACATTACAGATAGGAATCTTAAATTGCAACCCATCGGAGGAGATCATACAAGTCATGATTCTTTGGACAGTAATTCTACTTACGCAGATACGACTTCTTTTCCAATCCTTGAATAAAGCTTCGCCTTCTTGGCATCTTGAGCTCCCTAAATTTAGCACATAATGAAACAGTATCGATGAGCAAGAATGTCCATCTCCCATCAGAAACCTAAATTTCCTGGATCCTACCATGAGGGAGTACAATAGTGAGAAAGGAACTGGATAACTATCAGAGAGCTACACAACAATAGAAGCCATTTAGGCATTTCATCAAACAGATGGCGTGCATGCCACTGGACGTCGTATCGTATGACAAGCAAAACCTAGACCAATTCCACCCGATATTAGACCAGGAAAGACAAATACACCCATTTCAATTCAAATGAACAGAAGATGCTAAAATGTGAAGCAATCCCTGTGGGAGGAAGTACTAAAAAACACAAAGTGGTTCATTCACTAGTGAAGTATCAACACTACCAAAACAACCCAATGTTGGACGACCAATGGGTTTAGTGGGAGACTAATATAAAGGCGAAAGGGGTCAAAAAGAAGAGACCTTCCTGCCAGCAATTTTGCTGGAACGCCGGCCCATACAAACAACAGGGGATGTCCATATCCTTCTTCTGAAGTTGCCCATATGATCCTTCTCCGCACATCTCTCCTTGCCCGGAAACAGCGAAGCATTATTAGACCAAAATGCCGAAGATGAAACCGCCCTGCCCAGAAGATGACATCCTGAAGGGGAAAAAAAATTTGCAACGTTGTGGAATTTAAGCGACTCATATCATCTGCTGCTCTAGTAAACAAGGAAGAAGAAAGAGTTGTTGAATGCTACATTACTTGGAGAAAGGAGAAGAAAGGAGGAGACGGTGGTGCTTGGGAGCTTGGAGGAGGACCCAATGGAGAATCTCTGTAGAACTGTGCCCACTACTCTCATCTTTTGGATTTGCAGCCACGAGCAGAAGAAAGAAGCCGCTGACCCTGTACTTACCAATTCTCCATGGATTGGCAACGGAGCTGTGATCTTCAGAGCAGTCTTCTGCTCATTCTAGTTTCGACCCAACAAGCTTGTTTTGTTTGTCGTGGTTATTATTGGGCTGGGCCAATACTCTTGTCTCAGTTAAAACCCGCCAAGTTACGCCCTGTGGGCCACTGCCTGCCAGGATCCATTTTATAAGCCCAAGCTCCGATAGGGCCACTGCACTCTTTGTTTCGATAAGTTTTCAGGGTCTTAGTCCAATTTAGCGTAAAGTCGAATCAGTTAGGAATTTTTGTAGCTCAGACGAAGTTTAAACAAATATCATCAATGGATGGATGAATCACATTCGACACCAAACAATTGTGTATTAATTTTTGATGACGATGAATATTATTATTGCTAACAAAATTAAAGTTCGAGAAAAGAAAACACACGTTAATCTACGTGACCACACAATACCTCAAAATACAGACACAAAAATCATGCATATCGATATAAATGTACATGATCTGTGTCATGCATGAATCATAATTCGATAGCGATACGATGCCATGTAACCCAAGTTAATTACGTAATTTATTATTGGAGCTGCCAAGTTGCTGGTTTGTTGCACTTGCATCTACTAAGGAAGTGTCATTATTTTAACATATTGTGATATCATAGTAATCAGTAAAATATCAGCTAGAGAACTTTCGTCTATAAATATAATATATACACAAATGTATATTATATTATTATTGTCTGTCTAAGGCATGTTTAGCGAGTTGACTATAAAATAACAATTTCACTAACCAAAAGCATCAGCTTTGAGTTTGTCATTTTACACTCAGCAAAAATACCTGTCCAGATTATCACAGCTAATAAACAGAGCAAACAAATAAACAAAAACAAATCATGCACATACCTAGTCATATACATAATACATGTGTATACTTTATACTCTTTTCTTTTTTTTTTTTTTTGTTGCGCAACAAGTTTCAACAATCATCGATATGATTGGAATTAGTTGATCATAAATTTCCATTTCAAACTGATGAATTGATACTGTTTTATTTAGTTAAATAGATTTAAGGTTTTAATTGATCATAAAGTGATTCAAATAAGCAATTATCACAGAGAGCCCTAGAGATTAGATTACCGTTGTGGATGCATTTATCATACATCTTGTGTATTTGGGAAAATCGGCAACGCATACAAATTATTTGAGATGCCAATAAATTGCTTTGCTTTCAATTTGAGTTTGTAGGGAGAGAATGGAGATTAGGGTTTTATTTACAATGTTAAACACAACTTCTCAACTTCTTGTCTCATCAAGATATGATTTGTTTTGGGTTATTTTGATACGGTTATGTTTTTAGATGTATCATGTAAAAACTAATATGTTAACCTTGTTTGATTAAGATAGTATGCTTGGAATCTATTTTCATATGATTTTGCTTTTGAGGTGCATCAGGATGACTTCTTAGAAGAACTCATCAATTTCACTCAAAACACGTATTGTCATTTAAGATTCAGTTCTTTCTAATAAACCATTAATCTCTCATGTGATTTGGCTATGTAGAATTTGTCTAAGATGGAAGAGGCTGATTTTGATCATTTTATAAATGTGGCCACATCAGAACAACCACAACTAGTATGATTGTCGACAAAACCAAATTCGAATAGTAGCGAAATGTATTCAACCTACAATACGAATATCGAAAAATAACTGATCGTGACATTTGTAATATCAATCAACAAACCAACTTACGATAATATATATGGACCCACAACTCTTGATCTCAACTTGCCTAGTTGCTTGTTGATCTTATTTTGGTGTAACAGCAAACAAACACAGCCTAATCCTACTCAGATTAGTTGTCAAAGAAAAGGAAAAATCAAATCCTGCTCAGTTGCTTTTCTTCTTCTGCCGACTACTTCGCTTGCTTTGTTTTTCGTCCCTTTTGTAGCGTGTGGGACTTTCTATATCGTCTTCCTCCAACATCCCCTTTCACTCTCTATTTCCCGTCTCTGTCACCGAGAAGCCATGGCTTCTCTCTTCAGAGACCTCTCCTTAGGCCAATCATGGAGGGAGTCCACTCCTTCTCCGCCGCCAAAGCTCCAAATCCAGCCCCCGCCGCCGATAATGTCCGTCAGGCCAGTCGCCGCCGATCTCGAGTGCCCACTCGGCCAGCTCGCCTCCCACCTCACCGATTCCGACCTCCGCTCCGCCGCCTACGAGATCTTCCTCGCCCTCACCCGCACTTCCTCCGCCAAGCCCCTCTCCACCGCCGCCACCACCGACCCACCTAACCACCACCACAACCATTTGCCTCACTCCCCCAGCTCCAGCTCCAACTCCAACTCGTCTCCGTCACTCCAGCGCTCACTCACTTCCGCCGCCGCCAGCAAGATGAAGAAAGCTCTCGGCCTGAAATCCCCAGGCTCCGGCTCCAAAAAGAGCCCCGGGTCTGGGTCTGGCTCTGGTCAGGGCAAGTCGAAGAAGCCATTGACGGTCGGCGAGCTGATGAGGATTCAAATGCGGGTACCGGAGGCTGACGATTCAAGGGTTCGGAGAGCTCTTCTGCGGATTTCCGCTGGTCAGGTCAGCTTTCTGTTTTTCAATTGAAGGTAGATCTATGTTTGACTTGAGCTCTCGCTTCAATTTTCACCATTTCCGGATTCTTAATTGGTCGCCGTTGTCGTGGTAATGCGGATTCGATAGGTTGGCCGGCGAATCGAGACGGTGGTGCTACCGCTGGAGCTTCTGCAGCAGCTGAAATCATCCGATTTCACCGATCATCAAGAATTCGAATCGTGGCAGAAGAGGACTCTCAAAGTTCTCGAGCTCGGGCTGCTCTCGCACCCTAGAGTCCCGCTCGACAAGTCAAACCCTACCTCCCAGCGGCTGCGGCAAATCATCAATGCAGCTCTGAACAAGCAGATGGAAACCGGGCGTAACAACGAGTCAATGCAGATTCTTCGCAGCGCGGTGACCTCTCTCGCTAGTAGATCTGATGGCTCATCGGTTTTGGAAGTTGCCCATTGGGCTGATGGGATTCCGTTAAACCTTCGTCTGTACGAAATGCTGCTGGAAGCTTGCTTTGATGTGCACGACGACACTTCCATCATTGATGAAGTGGACGAGCTCATGGAGTTTATAAAGAAAACTTGGACTGTGCTTGGGATTAATCAAATGCTCCATAACTTGTGCTTTACGTGGGTTTTGTTTCATCGGTTTGTCGCTACTGGCCAAGTGGAGACGGACTTGTTAGATGCTGCTGATGGGCAGCTGCTGGAAGTTGCCAAAGATGCCAAGACGACAAAGGATGCTGAGTATTCCAAAGTTTTGAGCTCCACTTTGACTGCGATCATGGGTTGGGCTGAAAAAAGGCTGCTTGCTTATCACGACACTTTCGACAGTCGAAATTCCGTGACCATGCAGAGCATTGTATCTCTCGGAGTGGCTGCTGCGAAAATTTTGGTCGAGGATATATCGAATGAGTACCGGCGGAGGAGGAAGAACGATGTTGATGTTGCTCGTAGTAGGATCGATACTTACATCAGGTCATCCCTCCGTACCGCTTTTGCTCAGGCAAGTCTATATCTTTCTATATCTGCAGTACATTTGATAGACGGGAGAAGGCGGGATAAGTATAAAGATATTATATTTGCTGTCATTTGCTTGGTACATCATTTCACGTGAGTAGCTTAAGGTGATTCAACCTTAAAGACAGAAAGGCGATAGCTTTAGATGTAAGAATTTCAGGTGTGTGTTTCTTAGGGAAACTAAATTCGCTAACGACTTCATTGTTATATGAATAATCTACATATATTTGTTTGAACTGTTCTCGAGTTGGTGAGTTGACTGAATGTGTCAATGTGTTTGACTGCTGATGCAACAGAGAATGGAGAAGGCTGACTCAAGCAGGCGAGCAACCAAGAACCAGCCGAATCCACTTCCTGTCCTTGCCATCCTTGCCAAAGATGTTGGTGAGCTAGCGGTTAAGGAAAAGCGAATGTTTAGTCCAATACTCAAGAGATGGCACCCATTTTCAGCAGGGTTGGCTGTAGCCACACTGCATGCTTGCTATGGAAATGAGTTGAAACAATTCATTTCTGGGATAACGGAACTGACACCAGATGCCGTGCAAGTACTAAGGGCGGCAGATAAGTTGGAGCAGGATCTGGTGCAGATTGCTGTAGAAGATTCTGTGGATAGTGATGATGGAGGGAAAGCTATCATTCGTGAGATGCCTCCTTATGAGGCTGAAGCTGCAATTGCAAATTTGGTGAAAGTATGGATTAAGTCGAGACTCGACAGATTGAAGGAATGGATCGACAGAAGCTTACAACAAGAGGTAAATACTCGTCTGATGAATATCATTGTTAATATTTATGAGCATTAAGATTCATAGCTTGATTTGTGATCCGCAGGTTTGGAGCCCACAGGCAAGCCAAGAAGGGTTTGCTCCATCAGGAGTGGAAGTGTTACGTTTGATAGACGAAACACTGGACGCATATTTCCAGCTCCCAATACCAATGCATCCAGCTTTGCTGCCTGACTTGATGACAGGCCTGGATAGATGCCTTCAGTATTACGCAACCAAGGCTAAATCCGGCTGTGGTAATTTATTTCCGTCCCTAGCATCTCACTCAACCATATATCCCCCACAGAAATGATTGTTGATCCACCATGCAAACTAATCACTTCTCTAAACTCAATGCTCAGGAACCCGAAGCTCTTACCTCCCAACCATGCCCGCCCTAACCAGATGCGAAACCGGATCCAAGTTCCAGTGGAAGAAGAAAGACAAGTCGTCATCAACAACCACTAACGGTCAAAAGAGGTCAAGTTCCCAGGTCGCAACGACAATGAACGGAAGCAATGCCACCTCCGCGACACCTCAGCTATGCGTCCGTATCAATACGCTCCACCGAATTCGATCCGAGCTGGACACAGTCGAGAAGCGAATCATTACACACCTCCGGAACTCCGAATCAGCAGAAGCACATGACTTCTCAAACGGGCTGGCCAAGAAGTTCGAGCTCGCACCCTCCGCCTGCATTGAAGGAG